TCCTAAGCCCTGAGGAGAGAGGGGCCGCCCTGGGAGCCCCTTCCTTCCCTCTCCCTATCTGACGGTTCTGGGCAGCTGCAGTTGGGCTCTGCTCTGCTGAGATATCCTGTTTCAGGCAGATATAAGCCAGGCTGTCTTAGGGGTTTTATTTCACTGGGGAAGAGAGGGGGGCCCTGCCAGATGTCACCGAGCCTCATCACAGAGGCCAAGAGGTCACAAAGGAAAGACTTGCCGAGGGTCCACTTGCCAGGGGGCAGCTGGACCTTGGGGCCTGTGGATCACAGCGTTGGGGTGGGGGGTGGGGTGGGGAAGGGGGAGCAGGGACATGGCTGCCCTTCCAGTCTGCGCTGGGCCCAGCAGGGAGGTCAGGTGGGGTGGGGTATGTAAGCAGGCCTGTGCAGGATAGTGCACTGTGGGGGTGCGGCAGCAATGCCCGGGGCAGGAGGGCCCTGTGAGCTGGCACCCTGTGTGTGTGTGTGTGTGTGTGTGGGGTATGTCACAAGGGACCTTATTCACACAGTCACTGCCATCGAAGTGACCCTGTAGGACAGAGTCGAGCTGCCCCTCTGGGTTCCTGAGGCTTCTGGAAGGACAGCCTCATCTCTTCCCCCATGGGGTAGCCGGCGGGTTCAAACCACGGAACTTGGCGTTAGCTGCTCCATGCGTGGCCTGCTTTCTTTTTTAAAAATACATCATTTTAGAGGGCCTCTCACAGCTCTTATAACAATCCACAAATCCATTGTATCACGCCCATTCCCACTTTTCTCTTAGGGGGCTGTGTCCATGGTTAGCAGCCCCCACACTCGGAGCTGCTAGGCGTCAGGTCCACAGTTAGAAACCACCAGCCACTACCTGGGAGAGAGGCATTCTGGGAAACCCAGGGGGCAGTTCTGCTCTGTCCTGGGGGGTTGCTGTGTGTCCCGGGTCCTCACGGTGGCAGGGGGTGTGGGAAGTGGTTGACATCCTTGCCTACTGAGGTTGGGTCTGAGGCACCTTTGAAGAAAGGCCTGGTGCTCACTTATGAAAAGTGGGCCTCTGAGAGCCCCGTGGAGGCTGGGCCAGCCCAGCAGCAATCGGTGGCCGGAACAAGGGTCCAACCTGGTCCAATCAGTCCAGTCTGGTCATGAAGCCACCCTGACCTCGGGGGTGGGGGGTGGGGCTTCTCTGCATGCTGGCTGAGGTGAGGGGTTGGAGTCCAGGCCAGGCAGGAGGGAGCTGGAGTGCAGCTCATGAGCTCATCAAGCAAGCCGCCTGCAGGGACCCCAGCTCAGCTCCTCATGGTCCAGGGGTCCAGGGGTCTGCAGGTAGCCTTGTCCTCTGTCCACAGGGCCACTAACTGTGTCATGGGGGAGGGGGCATTTCTGGAGCATGGGGGCTGGGCATATGCCTGGCTTTGTTGCAGGGGGCACAGGGCACCCTGACTTTGAGAAGCTTCGTCCATTGGGCCAGGGCTTCGGTCTTGGATTCTGTCCCCAGCACAGAAGACCTTTGGGGGCCTCCTCGGAGGACCCAGAGTACCCTGGGTGGCAGCACCGCCGGCCCCTCCTGCATGGCAAGCTCCTGCCTTGTGGATATCCTAGGTCCCCTGGAAGCTCAGGCATCTGCAGGCAGCCCAGGGGTCCTGAGGCCCCCTTGGTATAGCTGAGCGCACCCGCCCCCCCCCTGAAAAGCCAGCTTTGTCTGTCTGCAGTGCTCTTCTACCCCGCACCGTGGGTGCTGCTGTTGCCAAGGTCATCCTCCCAGTGGCTCCCAACTCAGGGCCCACAGAGCAAACGCTGCCAGCTCCAACGACCCCCGTGGTCTTTCGGGACCAGAACGCCGTGATCCACAGGGGCTTTGCTGCCTGATCTCCATGCCTTTCCTCCTAGTCTGGAACCTCCGCAGTGTCCACTGATAGTCAGGAGGGGGCCAGACCAGGCCAGGTGGGAGCTGGGTGGCCGTCAGGGAGGCTGAAGCCTTTAGCACGGAGCCTCCAGGGCCCAGCCGTCCTTTAGAACTCTGAGCTCCTGGCCTGTGCCATTGGCCCGTGAGATGCCCCGTCTACAATGAGACGCTGCCACGCCTGAGAGCCACCACCCCCGGCTGGGGGTTTGGAAACGGCTTGTGGACAGATGTGGCCTTGTGGAGAAGCAAACCCCGAGTTCTCGAGGGTATCCCAGACACCAGCCTAGGCAGCCGTGGGGCCTGGCCAGGAGAGTAGTGGACCTTGTCCACCACCGATGACTTGGTTCTGGGAGGTCTGGCCACACCCCCACTGGCCTGCCGGCCCTTCTTGCACCAGAATAACCTTGCAGTGAGGTCCACACCTAACTATGAGGAGACTCAGATTAATGTTGTGGCCCCAGGTGAGCCTTGGGCGGGCGGCCAGGTGAAACATCAGCCGAGGGGCACGAAGCCTGCTGGTCCTGGGTGGCGGGGGTCTGACACTAGGGACTGGCCTTTCATGGAGTCCCTGGGCTCAGCTGCTCACTGAAAAGGTGGAGATGCCTCTTTAGAGAGGAGTGGCCGTCTGCTTGGGACCAACCTCTTTTTTTGCAGACCCCCAACCATGAGGCAGATTCCACCGGACAGCAACATGTCTTACACAGATGCTCTTGAGAGACAGAGTAAAACCATCTCCCGCCAGGAAACCAGCCTTCCATCCCTTCCTACTTAAAATTTTCACAGGTGCTCCTGAGGTGGACTGGCAGGCGGCTGCCACCTGGGCTCAGACACCTGAACCACTGTGAGCACGGCGCAGCACCAGGGGTACTTAGTTCTATTACACACAGGGTGGCTATGGGCCGGAACACTCTTTTGTTGTTTGTTTGCTTCCAATAGACTTATTGGCACATAATTGACATATTCATACAATTCAATAGTTCAGCCCTAACTCCTTCTGGGAGTAGAGTTAACTCATCTTTCTCCCTGGGCGCAGCTGGTGGTTTTGAAATACTGACCTTGGCGGTTAGCAGCCCAATGTAAGTACTACGCCACCGGGTTCCCACAACAACAACAATAAAATGTAATTGTGCTCAGGACAGTGGAGAAATCACCTGGCAGTGGCCCTTACTCCCGCCAGGTTTACAGGGTGTCAACATGCTGATATATTGCAAGTAACACACATTCAACAGAAATACAATGTTAACAAGTACAAGGGGAGCTACACTGACAAATATAACATCTATGTTCATTCAGCTCCTATGCCACGTCCTTCTCTGGGGCAGACAGAATTCACCCCCGCCCTCGGGGCATGGGGGCTACGCTGCCCCCCTCTCGGGTTCACAAGCATAGGGTGGGGCGCTCGGGCCACCTGCCGAGGCAGGGTCCCTGGCCTCCGAGAGAGATAAGATATATTTAGAGAGAGGGATGGGAACGGGACTTATTTTAAGAAACTGGCTCCCGGGGTGGTGTTGACTAACAGGTCAGATGATGGGCGGGAGGGGCTGCAGTGGCCAGGGCATCTATTTCCAGACTGGTTCCTCTGGGGGAACCTCCCTGGGCTTGCGCTCACAGGGACTACCCCGGCGACTCACGGACCGGTCCAGAACCAACGCAGGCTCACGACGCCCCCACGTGGGAAAGAACAGAACTGCACCCCACAGGCGGCCTGGCTGGTGCTGCCGACCACAAAGTTGGCTGTTAGAAACCACCAGCCGCTCCTGTGGAGAAAGAGGAGGCTCTCTGATCCTGTCAAGATGTAGTTTGAAAACACAAAAAAGACACTCACCGCCATCTAGTCGATTCTGACTCATAAGGCAGCGAGAATGGTCCCCCTGGGTTTCCAAGACTAACTCTACAGGAATGGAAAGCCTTATCTTTCTCCCATGGAGCGGCTGGTGGTTTTGAACTGCTGACCTTCTGGTTGGTTAGCAGCCCAGCTCGTAACCCCCTACACGTCAAGGTCGTTATGAGCCTTGGTGGTGTATGGGCTCCCCACTTATCTCACTGGAAGGTCAACAGTTTGAAACCCGCAGGGGCTGCTCCCTGCCCCACAGGGCCCCTCCATGGCTGTGGTCTGAGACTGAGAAGCCCACGGGGCAGCTCTCTGCCCCACAGGACTCCCGTGAGTTGGAATCGTCTCGACAGCATTGGGTATTGTTCTGGGTGTAGATGGGTGGCCCGGCCTTTCTTCCAAGGCCACTTGGGTAGACTCGAACCCTGTCTCCCACGGATGAGCACCGTCCTTCCTTAGCCCTCTGGCTTCTCAAGCACTGCTGCTGTCTGTCTGTCCTTCCGTTGTCCCAGGTGCACGCAGAGAAGGTGAGGCCCCTGCCATGGCCAACGAGGCTCAGCCGCGCCCCTGCGACATTGGCCACCGGATGGAGTACGGGGGACAGGGCCACCAGGTCCAGGTGGAGCACATCGGGGCGTATGTCAGCAGGACCCCGGCCGACTTGGGCAGGGCCGTGGTCATCATCCAGGACATCTTTGGCTGGCAGCTACCCAACACCCGGTACATGGCCGACATGATTGCAGCCAACGGATACACGTAGGTGCAGCCGGCCACCCACCCAGCCAGCTCCAGGTCCTCCCGGGCTCTGCCTGCCTGTGGTTGGGCTCACTGGGAGGGAGTCTCTGTGTGGACTTCGGGTGCTCACCTGGGGTGTGAACTCAGGGTCACAGGGAGTAGATCCCTTGTGGACTTGGGGGCCCCTGCTTATAGCATAGACTTGGGGTTCCCGGGTATGCTTCCTGTGTGTCCAGGTGCTCTCTCTGTGGGTGGCCCCTAGCTCTGACTCTGTGGTTGGGGGCGGACAGAGGGGCACTACACGGGGATAGCCCCTCTTGCCTGTCATGTCACGGCTTCTGTAGCTGCAGCTGGGAGAGCTGCTTGGAGTGCCTGCTCAGCTCAGCTCCCCGAGAGGAGTGGGACCCCCTGCAGGCAGGGGTAGGTGGAGGCAAGAGGCTGAGACAGGTCACTCTGGGGTCATGTTGAATCTTCCTGAGCTCCTGGACTGGGAGTCAGCCACGGCCACAGGTTCTCCATGACCCCTACTCCAGAAAATGGTTTCCTGCCCCAACCCCACTCCCCTGTGACCAGCCAGGGCCACGGTGGCCCTGTGGACACCCTTGGGGGCCCTCAGCAATGAGGAGCTGAGCTGCTGTCCCTGATGCTTGCTCAGGACAAAGGACCCTCCCTGCCTGCCTGAAGTTCCACCCTTCACCTCAGCCAGGCAGCCAGGACCCTCCCTTCCAGAGACCAGGCCTCTCAGAGGGAATTCTCTGATCTCCTGTCGGATGCCATGCCCAGTCCCCTCCCCACACCTGACTCTCCAGCAGGGTTGGCTTAGAGCCCTGTCTCCTGAGAGACTTGCTGAGTTGTGGTTTGTGTCCCCCAAAGAAAAAGCCCCCTCCTTACTCATCTCCCTTTCTGCAGTCTGATGGGACAAAGCGTGCCTGTCCCATCTCCGTCTCCTGATTGTAGCTTTAATTCTGGGGTCCAGGATGTGCAAAGGGGGGCTGGTGAAAGTCTCCCCCTCCTGACCACAGCACAGTTCAAGGCTTAAACAAGAGGGGCTGAAGTCTCCACCACTGGACCTGCAGAGCTCCTAGCCGGGCACAGGGACCTAAGCTGGGTCCTCCTGGCAGGCCAAACTGACCCCTCTGTGGGGGCATAGTGGACACAGGTAGGCTCTACAGTCCTGGTGAACGGACTGGGCCCTCACAAGGACCCTGGCCGCCTGGGGGGTGTCTGTCTGTCTGCAGCACCATCGTCCCGGACTTCTTTGTGGGCCAGGAGCCCTGGCACCCGACTGGGGACTGGTCCACCTTCGCCGAGTGGCTGAAGACAAGGGATGCCCGTAAGGTGGATAAGTAAGTCCCTGTGGTGGGTGGGGCGGGGCTCAGGGGAGACCAATCCCTGCCAGAAGGACATTGTGTGTGGTGCACGCCTTCCAGGGCTGAGTGAAGCACTCCCATAGACCCTCAGTGGCCTTTGTCCCCAGGACTTGCCTCCCCAAAGCCCAGGGCCAACTCCCTCTGGGGTTCTCCCCTCCTCTGAGATGCATCGGTAGGTAGCGTCTGCCCCGACCCCCAATTTACATCACCTACGGGATGGATTTGTACAGACCTCCCCAACACCCCCCATGGGGTGACTGGCTCACCTCCCATGGAGTGACCCCTACCCTCCACAGGGCAACTCTGCACCCTCCATGGGGTGACTGGTCTGTCCCCCGCAGGATGACCCCATCCCCATGGGGTGACGGGGCAGGTAACATTTCCCAGTGAGGTCACGCTCACAGGGACAGGGGCTGGAACTCAGTCCATCTTTGAGGGACATGGCTCTGTCCAGGACACTCTCTCTTCTGGATTCTGGCTGAGGTTCAGCTGATGAAAGTGAGAGGGAGGGGGCCGGCCAGGCTCAGCAAGCAACCAGACACCTAGCCCAAGCCAGCCCCTCTGTCCCTGGAGATTGGGGGCTTGAGCAGGCCCCCAAGGGCTGTGGCCTCTATGGTTTTGGGGAGCCTGGGAGTAGGGGTCACTCCAGGCTGGCAGCCTTGGACTGGATTAGTCCTCAGCCCTCAGCCACCCTCCTCCTGTCCAGAATGTTCTCACAAGTCAGGTTCCTCCTGCACAGGAGGAGGGGTGCCCCTGAGTACCCCCCGCCCCCACTCGGTCCTTTGTCCTCTTGCTGCCTCCTGTTCCCTCTCTCCTGGCCCTCCCAGAGACAGGCAAGCCAGGACATACCACCCTGGGCCTTGTCCAAACCCAGGCCGAGCCACCCCTAAGCCAGGAGATCAGGGGGTAGGGGGCTGGGGAGGGCTAGGGGGCCAGGGGGCCTAGGGGTCGGGGGCAGAGCCCAGGGAAGTCTGGATAGGGACAAGGAAGGGCCCTCAGCCCCAGTCTGGTGACAGCCCCATCTGTTGGGGCAGGCCGCCTACGCGGAGGCCTTTCTGTGAGGCTCCAGGTCCCCCAGACACGAATGACCCCTGGGTGGGCCTTCCTCCCTGCAGGGAGATGGACGCGGTCCTCCGCTACCTGAAGAAGCAGTGTGGCGCCCAGAGGATCGGCCTCGTGGGTTTCTGCTGGGGCGGCGTGGCTGTCCACCACCTGATGGCCACGCGGCCGGATTTCAGGGCTGGGGTGTCCGTCTATGGTAGGTCCGCTGGGGCCGCAGGGAGCTAGCATGAGGGCTGGTCTCTGGGCCCGCAAGGGCCCCAACATGGGGACTAGGGAAGCACCCTCATCTCCCCGTCACCCCCCAACCAGCGCTTAGGGGACTGGGCTGGCTGGGGCAGGGGGCGGGCCCTCAAGGTCTAGTCTGGGGATGGCAGGGGGTAGGGTCTCAGCACCCAGGGGCAGGGCTTGCCAGGGTAGGGGGCGGGCCCTGTGTCCAGTAGGTGGGATTGGCTGTAGCAGAAGGCGGGACGTCAGTATCCAGGGGCGGGGCTGGCCGACCAGGGGGCGGAGACCCGATTGTCTTCGCTAGCTTTCCCCTTGGACCGACCCCCGGACTTTTGCTGAAGTGGGGCGACCTGATCTTTGGAGGTTAGGAAGGCCAGGCTGCCAGGTCCACCTGCGCTACTGACGGGCGTGCGCGCCCAGCTGGACTGCCAGGCCTGCGCAGTGCCTTGCCCGGACCCTAAATGCGGCTTGGGAACTGCCAAATACAAAGGAAATGAAAAGCTGCAAACCCGAAGCAGAAGGCTCGGCTCTGAAAAATAAGCGGGCTTCAGGCCGTTTGGGGGACGTGGTATGCAGCACCCCGCCCTTGCCCCACAGGTCTTGTCAAGGACGCCGAGGACGTGTACAGCCTCAAGAACCCCACGCTGTTCATTTTTGCTGAAAACGATGCTGTGATCTCTCTGGAGCAGGTAAGCCTGGCGCGGGCATGGCCTTCCTTGACAAGTCAGGAGAAAGTTAGGGGAGAAATCCCAGAGCATTCATTTGTTGCTCCCCAGTTAGGATTTTAAAGATGCGGCTACCTAATCCCATAGTTAACCCACAGGGGCAGCACTGGGGTCAGCACTGATTTGGCGAGTTTTTTGTTTTTTTAGGGTGGGATCATACCGCCCCAGCCCTAGTGGTCTAGCAATTATGAGCGGGCCATCAGTTCAAAACCACTAGCTGCTTCGTGGGAGAAAGGTGAGGCTTTCTACGCCCGGTTAGTCTGCTCCAAGGCAGTGAAGCAGGTGAGGGCCGTAGGACATGAACCATGTCCCAAGGAAGCACCTCGAGGGCCTGGTGTGGAACCAGGCTCCCGTCGCCCCACTGAGCCAGTGTGGGCACCAGGGCCCTTGATGGCTGCAGCCCAATCCAGAGCTTTGGCGATGTTGGCTCTGGATCGGGCTACAGAGGGTGAAGCACCGGGCTGCTGATTGGAAGGTGGGCTGGACACGGAGGGGGGAGGCTGTTCTGCAGACCTCCCACCTCAGGAGCCAGGGAGTGGACTCTGCCCCAGTCGCTTGAGCTGGCCCAGTGGCAGTGGCAGTCCCAGTGCTCTGTGGACTGTCGGTGATAAAATCAGACAACCAGTGCCCTCCCAGCGGTGTCACACAGCAGCGTAGCTACGATTCAGGGTCTTGCACGAATTGAGAGTGCATGGAGTCACAAGCACCCACCATGTCTTAGAAGGCCAGAATGCTCCTTTGAGGGAAGGATGGTGAGACTGTCTTTCGTGCTTTGGAAATGTTGTCAGAAGGGACCAGTCCTCAGAAGAGTAGGGCAGTAAAGAGGGAAGCCCTCAGGTGATTGACCCAGTGGCTTTAACAATGGGCTCAGGCAGAGAACAATTGTGAGGATGGGGGAGGCCTTCTGTTGTGCACTGGGTCAGAAGCGGCCCAATGGCACCTAGCAACATTGCATATATGCAAGTGACTTCCAATAAGGGGGTGTTCTTACTGCATTGCTACGAATGCTGGGGCTTCTCTGTAGCTACTGAACTTGTTTATAACCTAGTTTAGATGTTCAATCTTTATATATTTTTTTGTGGTGAGAATGTTAGATTGCTTTTGGAACGTGTGTAGAATAGAAAGATGTCCAGCTCAACTCACCGAGTCAATTCTGACTCAGGACAGGGCAGAACTGCCCCTGTGGGCTTGAGACTACACAGCTTTAAGGGCGTAGAAAGCATCGTCTCTCTTCTATGGAGTGGCTGGTGAATTCGAACTGCTTGCTGACCACCTGGTTAACAGCTCAAAGATTATTACAAATGGTTAAAATAAAATTCATACCAACCTGTGTACTCTATCTCAAAAGGTCTCTTTGCTGACCCGCAAGTTGAAAGACCACTGCAAGGTTGAGTATCAAATTAAAACCTTTTCGGGGCAGACACATGGGTTCGTGCACAGGAAGAGAGAAGACGTCGCCCCCGCAGACAAGCCCTACATTGAGGAGGCGAGAAGGAATCTCATCGAGTGGCTGGACAAGCACCTGTAGCTGTGACCAAGCACCAGTCTTCTCTGAACATGCCCGAAGTCACAGAAATTCATTTTCATGTCACATCAATGATGTCAAAAGGCATTAAAAAATGATTTCCCTTGAAACCTGGCTATGTGGCACAATGGATTGATTACATGAGGCTGCTCTCTGCAAGGTTGGCAGTTTGAAACCCACAGCCCCTCCCTGGGAAAATTGAGGCCATCTGCTCCTTAGTTTTGGAAACCTGTGGAGGCATTCTATCCCATCTTCCAGGGTTGCTTTGAGAACCGAGGTCTGGGGTGTAACAAAAACTGCAGCTGGTCCATCTCTGAGTTGAATCTGGGGCTGTTCTAGAGCACTGACATGGGTATGTCTTTGGGAAACATGTTTCCTGGTTTTGAGGTTAGGCCGTGCTGGAGGTTGGGATTCTAGGCACGGGCTCTGGGAGGTGGTCCCTCTTCCTCCTGCGCTTGGCCTGGGGGGCCACGGTCCCTCATATCTTTGCTTCCTTGCTGCACACAGGGTGCTGCCTTGTATACACAAGGGGGCCTGAATCTCAGGTGCTGTGGGGCTCATGCAAGGCCTGATGCCGCCAAGCCCCAGGTGAACTGCACACTGAGGCAGCCTCAGAGCCTGACTCTGGGGTAAAGGGGTGGGCCTCGCACAGGCAGACTCGTGGGGTTTACGTGGAGCATGTCTCTACCCTGTGTGCCCCCTCACACCCCCATCAGGGTGGACAAGTGACCCAGAATGTGAAGGAGACAGGCCTCTGGGAGAACCACCCTAGGTTCTAGGCAGGCAGTGCATTGAGTGTGGTGCTGAGCCTCACTGCCCACAGAACACACCAGAACATGCCTTGTGAGCCCCCAAAGGACCCCCAGTGAAGATGGTGGGAAGGAGAATTGTGGGTGCTCATGTGACCTGGCCCCCAATCCCAACAGTCCACAGGAGATGTCTACTCAGGATGTGGCCTAGTTGGTCTCAGGGTGTTGTAGGTGGTGCCCAATACCATGGGCAGAGAGACCGGACCACCCAGCAAGTTCTGCACTGGATCTTGGGAGTAGGCGATGGGGCCCAGGTGCATGCCCAGAGGCCAAGCACCTTGGTGGTCTTACCCTACGTCACCCTATTTACTGAACTCCGTGTAAAGACACTGCCCGAGTTTGAGGAACTTTAATGTAACAAATAGAAAAGACAGGGCTGGTGTGCCTCCGCTGTGGGAGGTCAGAGAGTGGGGCACACAGTGGGGAGGAGGCCTCACTCCTCGGACTCCCCAGGCTTGCGGATGTCGTCGATCTTCAGGATCATGCGCACCATCTGCGTGGCCAGCGAGATCTGCTGCTTCTTTCCGATCAGAGTCTCGATGACGTGCTGCTGCTTCATGTCTGCAAGGGGCCCGTGGTTGCTCAGTCTGGGGCCACATCTAACTGATGTCATTGTGACACAACCCGGGGGGTAGGGCCACTCTCTAGGGGACAGGGTCCAGGAGGTGCCCGGAGCCCATGCGGCACCCAGGGGCTGACCTTGGCCTGCACTACGACATGCGCTGCCCACTGTCTTCAGTTAGGTGTTGGACTAACTGTAAGGTCAGCAGTTCAAACCCCCCAGCTGACGTGGATGGACTGGTGTGAGTTGTCCGGCTGTGTGGACAAGGACTTACCGTTGGTGCCCTTGTGCAGACAGTCGATGCCGAGTGCTGAGTTGGCCTCCTTCACCTGCCGGGCGCGTACCTCGGTCATCGTCTGGATGGGGTTCAGGCCGCTGTTCTCCGACAGGGCCATGGGGATGACCTCCAGTGCGTCGGCAAATGCCCGCATGGCATACTGTTCCAGGGTTGGGCACTGTGGGCATAGCCGCTCGGTCAGCATGCTCTTCCTGGCCGAGGCCCCAGGACAAAGCCATCTGTCCTGGTGGCCTTCCAGACACTAGCTGGCCCCCAGGTCTCTGGCTGTGGGCTCACCTTGTCGGCTTCCTGGCTGACGGCAAGCGCGCAGGAGATCTCGGCGGCGCCGCCTCCATACACGATGCGGTTGTCGCGGATCAGGTTCCGGATAACACACAGGGCGTCGTGGAGGGAGCGCTTGGCCTCCTCGATGATCTGGGACAGGGACACAGCCTCGTCACTTCAGGGACAACACGGGAGCGCCCCCATCCCCTGCTGGAGGGCACCCTGCTCACCATCTTGTTCCCCCCGCGAATGAAGATGGTGACGGCCCGGGAGTTCTTGCACTGCTCGATGACCAGCATCTTGTCCTTGGTGGTCCCGAAGGAGATCTCCTTCACCAGCCCTGCGAAGCCCAGCTTCTGGGGCGTCAGTTCCGAGAACCGCGGCACGATGCGCCCCCCAGTGGCAATGGCGATCAGCTGAGGACAGGCCAGGTCAAAGAGGACCACCATGAGTGAGCACCCGAGCTCCCGCCACCTGCCATCCGCCCCAGCAAACCTCCTCCCCAACCTACCTCGATCTCAGGGCCCCCGACCCAGCGGACTGCAGGCAGGTTGTTCTGGAGCAGCAGGTGGTTGGCCTCGTCATCAAAGCCCCACTGGCAGATGGCCAGGTTTGCCCCGGTCTCTTTAATCTGGGGAAACAATACCAGCACAGTGTCAAGGAGGCCACAGCAAAAGCAACAGGCTATTGCAGACCTGGGCCACAGCGAACAACAGCTCCCACCCCCACTAACAGGCTGCCAGAAACCTAAGCTTGCACAGTGGGGCTGCAGGCACATGCCACCCCAGGTCAAGTGCAGTCAGCTCTGCGGTCACGTAAAGGAGCCCCATGGCAGCGTGGTTACTCATCAGGCTGCTAACCACCACGTCACTCCGAAGATGAGCTTTATACTCCCACAAAGAGGGACTGCCTCAGACACACAGAGGGCAGTTCCACCCTGTCCTATGAGATTGCTGAGACAGAGATGGGTCCACGGCAGGAGCCTGTAACCATCTGTCCACAGACCAGCAGTGATCTGCCTGCCTGGACACAGGAAAGCACCTGTTCTCTGCGCTATTGCAGTGCCCAATGGGCATCACTGCCTGCTAACGGCACCCTGGCTTGTCTTGTTGACAGTTCATTCCAACTCTATTCCCGAGAACCCCGTGACACAAAGCTGGAGACGCACGGGGTTTCTGTGCTCTGTTGTCACAGATGCCGGTGGCCAGACAGCGCTTCCGCAACACCCAGGTGGTTTGAATGGCTGACCTTTTGGCCACCTCCCACACAGGGCCTCTCCCCCACCCTGACCTGCTGGATCATCTGCTGGAACTTCTCCTTCTCATACTTCTGCAGGGCCCTGTAGTCGTCCACTGAGGTCACGTCCAGCTTGTGCTTTGTCTTCGGTTTGGGCGGCTCAAAGGGACACGTGAGAATGGCGATCTTGGCGTTCTCTACCCTCTGCGGGAGAAGGGAGGACTCAACCTAGGAGCAGAGACTCAGGCACCTGCGAGGTGCGTGTGTGCACTTGGGGCAGGACTTGCCTTGGGCATCTGGGGGTGACTGAAGTCCTTGTCCACGACGACACCCTTGATGAGCTTCGTGTCCTCCAGTCGCCCGCCCACCTTGCCTTCCACCTTGACCAGCTCAAAGTCCACGTCTCTGCGCTGCATGTCGGCCACTGTGAGGACGGCGTCCACCGCGATCTCCGCCATCTGCTGGTGGCAGCTGTTCACCCTGGGGGGCAGGGTGGCGAGCACACGGCCTCACGTACAGCCTGAGTGGGCTGTTACCTCACAGGGATGTCCAACTCTAGCTGAAACTTAGCGTGCCTCTCTGCTGAGACCACGGGACACTGCCCCGCCTTGCCCACAACGCTCGGCTCACGAGCTTAGCTGCATAAGCGGAAGGAGAGGAACCACGGAGTGAGCCGGCTCGACAAGGACCTGCAGCCACCTCACTCCCATAGGGACAGTTGGCTGATGAGTTTACTTGGATTCTGGAAACCCCAAGCCCCCAAGCGAACTGCATCTCACCAACTTTGGCTTTCTGCAGTGGATGCTGGCCACAGGCAGACAGCGTCCAAGAACATGGTGCAGCCGGTTATATACCAGGGCTGTCAACTGAAAGGCCAGTGGTTCAAGGCCACCTGCCATAAGGAACCATGAAAGGGCAGCTGACTCTGGTCTGCAGGGTCATGGAGGGGGACCCGCAGCAGGGGGTGCAGTTTAGATGATGGGGCTATTCCCTGGATTTTAGCAAGATTTGCTAATTGGGTGGAGCCCACAGACAGTGCAGTCAGCATACTTCTCAGGGGGACGTAGTGCGCCTCTCTGCGGGAGCCATTGTGCTGGACAGCGGTCAGGGCAGTGTTCTTGCCCGTGTTCATTTCTCCCTACTACCACGAGAAACTACTACATGGCTACATGGAAAGACCTGCCTCCCTCAACAAGCACAGATCTGCTTGTGTGGAGAGCAGCAGGCTCGAGCTCGCCAGAAGCGTGGAGCTGGTGAAATGAGCGCGCCCCCACCCCCACCCCAATAGCCACACCTTTGAGAAGCTACAGGCCCGCTCCCCGGGAACTTACACCTTGGAGCCCAGCGTTGTCTTGGCGGTCTGGATCAGGGGCTCTGTGCTCAGCATGTCGACTGGGATGCGGTCACTGATGTGGTCCAGGTGCTCGATGGCAATGCGGGCGGCCTGCTCATAGCCGTCGGCAATCCTGATGGGGTGGATGCCACGGTCCAGCAGCTGCTCGGCTTCCTCCAGCAGGGCCCCGGCCAGCACTGCAGAGAGCCAGCAGGGGCTGGTCACCAGCCTTCCTCTCACAGGCCAGAGAGGCAGGAGCCCCAGAACCACTACTTCCACCCTGTGCCCACAGTGAAAGGCTCAGGTGCCTCCGAACTGGACTGTTAGCCATGGATGGAAGGCCTGGATGCAATGTCCCAAGAAGTGACGGCCGCTGATAAACCTCGTAGGTGACAGTGCATGCTCAGCCAGCAGCAAAGGGATTGATGGAGTCTAGAGGCCCACTGGCAGTCTGCAGCAGGGACAGGCCTGGGACCTGCTTCCCAGCCCCCAAAGGGGCCCACGAGCATTCCACGACTACACGAGAACCAGACAGCCCGCCGCTGGCCACGGCTCCCACAGCCCCACTTTGTGACAATTTGTGTTTGTGATCAGCACATTGCCACACGGGCTGTAGCTTACTCTACATACCCACGATCAGTCTCAGAAGCTGGGACCGAACACACCCCCATCCCCAGCTTACCAACCACGCCAGTGGTGCCATCTCCAATTTCATCGTCCTGCGACTTGGACAGCTCCACCATCAGCTTGGCGATCTGGTGGTCGACGTCCATCATGCTGAGGATGGTGGCCCCATCGTTCGTCACCGTCACATCACCGTCCTTGTCCACCATCATCTTGTCGAGCCCTGAAAGCCCCCGGCGTGGAGAAGACTGTCAGGTCTGCACCCAGGGCCCCGGCTTGGAGCCTCACTGGTAAGCACGACACCCAGCCCAGCGCCCGTGTGGACATCTATGTGAGGATGGTCCCTGGCCTGCGCGACCTGAGAAGCAGCACAGAACGAATGCTGGTGACAGAGCAGAGACCACCAATGAAATGACGTCGAGCTAATAAAGGACCGACATGACGACACAGGGCGCTCAGCCCACGGTGCCAGGCCAGGCCACCCCGCTTTCTGCACCGAGCACATGGTACAGACCGAACACCGGCCACTTGGAAGCAAATCAGACCGGGCTCTTACCATTAGGTCCCAGAGATGATCTCATCGTATTCGCCACAGCCTTGGCCGCCATTATGTGAGACTGCAGGAACAAAGAACACGCACTTAATTACAGCCACAGCCAAAAGCACACACAAAACCACGACAGTTTCTATTCTCTGGAAGCTTCTGAATTCAAGAGGCAGCCAGAGCAGACCCATTGCTGTGGTGTCAGTAACACAGACTGACCCTGTTGGACAGGAGTAGCCAGCCTTTCTCCCAGAGTGGCTGGTGGGTGCCAGTGGCTGACCTCTGACCTTGTGGTTTTTGCCACCAAGGTAACGAGGAGAGTGTGACCACACCTTGGTGTGGTCCTGACGTTTATGACCAGTGTCAGTCCATGGGAAAGACACGGGTCTCGGTTGTGTGTGTGTATGAGCCCTTAGACCAGCCAGCAACTCAATGACTGCCAACTTGGGGCTACTGCACCCCTTCCTTCAAGTCAAACAGTCCACGAGCCAGAACACAGCCTGAACCCCGAGAACACGGCAAGAACAGACTCGACACATTAAACACTGACGACCACGGACCCAATGAGCTGCGGGGACATCAGGAACATCAACAAGAAAGACCGGAGTGGATGCCTGAAGAGTCGGCCAGGGGTACCCGAACACTGAGTAGCTAAATCAAACAGAGGGAATGGCGAAGTCAAAGCTGAACAGGAAACTTCAGAAGGCTGTCCAAGACGACAGTGCTCTGTAATGAAATGTGCACAGAGAGACCCGGGGCTGGAAGCCCCCAAGGAAGAAAATGTGTCAGCTGGAAGAAAAAACTCAAGTGTTGAGCTGCAAGAGTGAAAGAGGCTGTGGGTGAAACAATGAACGATTCAGGAAGCCTCAGAAGACCGAAGGGATACAGTCTCTGTGCTAAAATGACTGTCAGCTTCAACACTTCAGAGGCAGAACAGGATAAAAACGGATGGGTCCGAAGGGCCAAGTTCAAGCTGCACTGAACGCATCAGCCAAAAACAAGGCTCCAGAGATCGACGGACTATCAAGTGCAAGGTCCCAACAAGCTGATGAAGCACTCAGCCTTCTCTGACAAGGCATTTGGAAGAAAGAAAAGCAGGCCAAATGACCAGGGAAAAACCCAAGAACCACCCCCCCCCCCTTGTCCATTCCAAAGAAAAGTGACTCCCACAGAATACAGAAACTACCCAACAACATCACATCACCTCACACACAGGTAAAACTGTGCTGAAAGAAGAGCAGCCGCAGCACATCTACAGGGGCTACCAGACATGCAAGCTGGATCCGGCTAACAGAGGAAGTCAGATGGACCTCCGCTGAAAGCAAAGCGTTTAATAGAGATGCTTGATGGTGCTTTACTGACTACATCCTGGTATTCCACCATGGATGACATCAAGACTGGTGACGAGAATTCCTCAACACTTCATTGTGTTACCTTTGGAACAAGCAGCAGTCTTTCAAAAAGAACGAGAGGACATCTGACATCTGGAAAGGTGTGTCAGAGTTCAAATCACTCGATGACCAAGAGCTGTACTCTTAAGTAAGGATTGTAACTCCATACTTAAAAAACAACAAATCTCAGTCACGGCTAAGTGTCAATGCCCACCCATGGTGACCTTACAAGACAGGACAGAACCGTTCTTGTGAGTTTCTGAGATTGTTGTTCTTTAAGGGAAGAGAGCTCAAAATAAAGAAACCCCAAGTCAACAATGTCATGCTCCTGGGACCCACAATCAACGTCAATGGAAGCAGGAGTCAACAGATCAGTGGTGTGTTGTAGCAGGCATATCGGATGCATAAGACCTCTATGAAGTTGTCACTTTGAGGATCAAGGCTTGCCTCATATGCATGAGAGCAAAACGAGGGTGTCCTTGAGTTATGGTGCTGGTGAGGGACACTCCCAGTACCGTGGACCGCCGAAAGAACCCCAAGTCTGTCTCGGAGGACGTGAAGCCGGAGTGCCCCTACAGGTGAGAATAGCGAGACTTCACCACCTGCGCTTCCAAATTGCTGTCAGGACAGCAGTCCATGGAGGACATCACACTTGGTGGTCACTGGGGAGCTCTCTGAGTCAGGGACTGTGTACATCACCCCACATGGCTGAGCCCCAACTAAAGCACACCCTCAGGAAGGCAGCAGCAACCTCATGGGGCCTGAGACAGGTGCACTCTCTGTAGAGCAGATGCAGCGTGCCCCCAGTGGTTCCTACATGCAGACAGACACCATCCTCTGCTTCCACACACGACAGGGGCCCAGCTTTCCTTCCACTGTCCCCTGGGGCTGGGACACCTCAGCGTCTCTCCACCCTTCACCTGGCTCCACAATCTTTCCTGGATTGGCCACTCACCAGCCCCCCTATTAAGCCCAAGGGTCCACTCTGCACGGCAAGCCCCCAAATTGCAGCCTGAGCCTCTTCCGTTTATGCGATCTGACGCTGGCTCCCCACATGTCCCAGAACAAGGGGGGAAGCAGACATCCCATCCTCTCAAGAGAACACTCACACCTGTGTTATCCTCTGCATGAAGGTCATGTGGTCCTTGAAGGGTCCCTATTCTTAAGGCAGAGTGAGGGCATAGGGGAGGGGCTCTAGAGCAATGTGTGTCAGAGTGGTTGGCCCGCAGTCATTTTTTCCTGCAATAGTGGGGACCTGTGCTTTAAGGGGCAGAGAAGCGTTCCTTTGGGCCGGGAGGAGTCTTAGATGTGTGTGTGCTGGCCTTTAACTCGGGGCGCCCGGCCCAGCTCTTCCCTGGGCAGTCAGCGCCTACTTCTGTCCATGGCCACCGGGGCCACGCCGCTGCAGCCTGCACCACCTGTCCTGCCGGACGCAGTCTGGCGGACGCCTGCCCCGTGGTGCGTCTGCGCCCCTTCCAGGCAGGCTCGAAGCGTCCATCCTAGTGTTACGGTGCCAGGCGGGCGTTTTCCGTTTCCTTGGGGCCGAAAGGAGGGCGGGGAAGGGCTTGTAGGGGAGCGAGTCCGCGGGCCTCTTCTCGGGAGAAGACCGGCCCCAGCAGACCCGCGTGGAAGCGGCCGGCCTTTTCTCCGCGGGGCCGGCGGAACGTTCCCCCGTCCCTCCACCTCAGTGCTCTTAGCCGCCGACCCCGCCCGGGCTCGCCCCCATTCGGGAGTCCCTCCACCGGCGGGCGCGGCTCCCCGCTTGCCCCGGCGCACATGGCGGCCGGCGCGCGCAGGCGCAGACCACCGCCCCCGGCCCCCACGCCGTCACCTTGAGGGCCTCCAGCCCCATGAGCCGGGACTTGCGGTCCTGGTCCTTGATGATGAGGAAGGGGCGCCCATACTCGTCGAAGGCGAGGGTCCCCACGGACGCCATGATGCAGCAGTACAAGCTCCTTCCCGGCAACCGGCCGAGCCCTCCTCTCACAGAGCCCGTGCGCCGGCCTCTCGCGAGAGGGCGTCAATCTCGCGCATGCGCGCGGCGCGCCTCGCGAGACTCAGCTCGCTGTCCAGACGAGTGTGGCGCCGGGCCGTAGCTTCTGGAAGCCGTAGCCTCCGGAAACTTCCATCTCCAGGAAACGGGGTGTGTGGTGGGGGGCGGGAGGGAGAGACACGGGCTGGAACTCTAGATACCATGGGACAAACTATGGTGGAACTATGTCACTCATAAGATCTGTGTGACAGTTTTTTTTCCTGGATTGTGTCCTGACGGGAGTCTGGTCTCCGCCCTCCCCCGGCTTCGAAGGTGGTAGGGCCCACTTCCGGGTTGCTGCTCAGCGGCTGGAAATCTCGCGATGGAGCTGGGAGGTGAGCGGGGCTGGGCGGCCCGGGGCTGGGTGGGCCCGGCAGACGGGGACGGGGACATGTGGGGCCATTCTTGGCTCCCCACTGCTCTCTGCTGCGCTCCCGCGGGGTGACTCGACCTTGGAGGACAGGGGAGAACTGGCCCTCTGAGCGTCCGCAATTAGTCCTTTACCGGACTAGAGAGCCTCGTCTTTCTCCCGCAGAGCGGCTGGTGGTTTTGAACTGGCGACCTTAGCACCCCAACGTGTAACAACTACACCAGCAGCGCTCTTTATTTTCTGC